CGTACGGGGCTCGGTTTACGGCCTCGACTGTGATTTCTCACCCGCTCTGCATGTGGGAGGGCGATTACCCCGCGGGGATGCCTGTGTATGTCGCCATGTTGTTCGCGTTCCTGGCCGTGGACAAGTGGGCAGCACGAAAACTAGACGGAAAGTGAGTTGCACTAGAAAACCATCCCGAACCGCACGCCATCCGATGATTCGCTGACCTTTTCGTTACAAGACCAGGACCCATCCCCCGCGCTCTTGCGCATTGCGGGTTTGTGACCGTGGAGAAGAAGCATCGTGACGTCGAGAAGCTGGGGATTGCGGAGAGTGAGGAGAAGACGGGCGCAAAGTTGGAGTAGATGCTGAAGATGTCGCGAAGTTGGCACACGAAGATTGAAGAAAGTTTCTGGGCGCGTTGCGGGTTTTCCCCCAAGCCTCCCTCGAAAAGTCTTGGTCATAACTCTTAGAAACATTGAGCACAAGGTGGGACCTTGGTTGGAAATTGACACATCGTTTATTGTCACGTCGAATTTCTCAGAAGAATGAGAAGGATTCCGCGTTTCAAGGTTTTCATTCTTGGCTGCTCCTTGTTGAGGCAGCGTGAACATGAAGATTTTTGCTTTGGATGGATCATCACCGTATGCCAGGGTGGGCTCGGTAATCCTCCGAAGGCTGCAAAGTCCTTAGGTTGGGGCGGGTGGAATCCCGAATCTCGCATGCAGGGCCAGTCCAATCCCAAGTGCCGCTTTGCTAAAGGCACGAGCTGCATCGGGGAATGCCAGCCGCGAAAGGGGCGAACGGTCAAACCTGAAAACGAAGCCGATCGGCTCTTTCGTCGCGCCTGTTGCAACCCACCAGGGGTGCCCCTTTGGGCGGATGAACACGAGGGCGCCTCTGAGACTTAAATGCTTTTGGCTACCGCCCAAACGGAATGAGGTCACTGCTCAGAGTTTTCCAAGGAAGGGGACGTGCCATCTCTTTTATACGTTATGCCGCTGTCATTTTCGCTGTTCCAGACGGGATAGCAGTCGTCATTTGGCTTACGCCGTTATCCCCGTTGGCGTGCTTCGCGAGTCAGCCATGTGTTCGTGACGTGGGGGTTCTCTGCCCGGTCGTGCACAATTCGACAATCCACTGATATGAGTGATATCGGACCTTAGGGCGCCTCTTGGCCTACCTTCGGGCCTTGGCGACCGCTACCTGCCGTCTTGGCTGTGCTTGTTTTTCGCCGCATTCCATGGCGTTGTCTCTGTGCTGAGTGACAGCTTTCAACGACATTTCATCTGATGCGGAAGCGCGATATGCCGCGCTGTGGGGACGACTGCGACTGTGTTTCCTTCACCGAATCATCCAGTGCATCCGAATAAACATGAAAGCCTGCATCGAGGCTCGTACGATTGGATCTATCCGCAGGTAAAGGTAAGGTAGTTTGGCCACCGACCGCCTGCGGCTGCGACCCCTTATCCCGCCCGCCCCAATTGCCGACTCCGCAGCTGTGAGTAACGGCGAGAGGGATTAAACGCAAGCGGGCGGAACCCAGGAGGAGCAATTGCGAACGAGGCGACGAATGGGTGGAACGACAATTCGTCTGAGCGTCTCCACGAAGGAGACCTGATGAAGCTATCGCCGTTACGCAGACGGGAAGGGTGTGGCCCTCTCCGCCCTCTCTCGGTCGACTTCCGCCCTTAGCCCTGGCCGACTCACCCGGTCACACACAACACTTGGGAACGGCGCGCGTTCGGCATTGACGACACTGGCCCGCTCCCAGGAGCCTCTCTCTCCTCTGGCAGCCCCTTCCAGCCCTCCAGCCTCCGGACCTTCTACCTCAGGCTTCTCCTCCTCAACGTTTCTCCATCTTTCGGCCCTCCACATCGGGCACTGGCCAGCCCTTGGGGCGGGTTCCCTTACACACGGAGAAGTAAGCTGCTTTGGATTATGAATCTGGCTTTGCGGCCAGAATCCCGCGGGGTCTCCGCAACTCACCCCACAAGGGTCGGTATGAGATGAACGCGCTCGCTCTCGCTGAAATTCTTTAAGAGAGACGCCCGTCTCTCGCCCTCGACGCGGTCTGTTCATCGGCTCTCTATCTAACCCTCGACGACCGTCTGTTGCCCTCTCGTCTATACACCGGCTGTACTTCCCTTTCCCTTTCACTAGAGTTCGGGCAACCTCCGTGCATACACAACACCAGCCGTCGACAATGGGCGCATCATTCTTCGGCCTCACAGGCAATGGCCTGACCATACTTCAGCTCGCGCTGATTGTGTGCCCGTCTTTCATCCTCTTCGGTTACAACCAGGCCGGCCTTGGTGGTCTGCTCACTACCGAGGATTGGGTCAAGACGTTCCCCGAGATCGACACCGTTAACACCACTGGCGCCACCAAGAACAAGAACTCCACCCTTCAGGGCTTCGTCGTCGCTACCTTCACTATTGGCGCTCTTATTGGCTCCCTGTCCTGTTCTTGGTCTGGCGACAAGTTTGGCCGCCGCAATGTCATCTTCTTTGCCGGTCTCTGCTCTCTCATCGGCGAGGTTCTCGAGTGCTCCGCCTTCTCCCTCGCCCAGCTCATCGTCGGCCGTATTATCGTTGGTCTCGCTATCGGCCAGCTCTCCTCCATCGTTCCTGTCTGGCAGTCTGAGACTTCTGGCGCCAAGAACCGTGGTCGTCATGTCGTCCTTACTGGTCTCTTCACCTGTGTTGGCTACGTTCTGGAGAGCTGGATCAACCTCGGTTTCTGGGAGTTCAAGACTGGCCCCGTTACCTGGCGCGCTCCTATCGCCATTGCCATTCTGTTCTCCCTGATCCTGATGGGCAGCATCTACTTCCTGCCTGAGTCGCCTCGTTGGCTCGTCATGAAGCAGAAGTCCGCGGAGGCCCGTACCATCATCGCTGCCCTCCGTGGACTTGAGGAGGACTCCCTCGAAGTCCAGGCCGAGGTTGCTGGCATTGAGCACTCCCTCGAGGAGACCACCCAGAACGCTGCCAAGCTTACCGACATGCTCAAGATGGGTGATGATAAGCTCCTCTACCGCTTCGGTCTCTGCATCCTCCTCCAGTTCTATCAGCAGATGTCTGGCTCCAACTTGGTCTCTGTCTACGCGCCTATCCTGTTCCAGCAGAACCTTGGCATGAAGAGCGAGGCTTCGCGCGCTTTGGCCGGTGGTGCCCTCACCTGGAAGTTCCTGTCTTCCTTCGTTGCCTTCTTCACCATCGATCGCTTCGGTCGCCGTGTCGTCTTCATTCTCAGCGGTGTTGGTATGGCGCTCTGCATGATGTCTCTGGCCATCACCACTTCTTTCCCCAAGGACAACACCGCCGCTCAGATTGCCGCCGGCTGCTTCATCTACCTGTTCAACACTTTCGTGCCTATCGGTTTCTTGGGTGCCAACTTCCTGTACTGCACTGAGGTTGCTCCCATCCGTCTCCGCATGGCCATGTCATCCATCTCCACCGCCAACCACTGGCTCTGGTAAGTTGCACCCGACTCAAATCGATCACAAAAGATCCATCAACTAACGCGTTGTCTCAGGAACTTCATCGTCGTCATGGTTACCCCTGTCGCCCTCAACACCATCGGCTACCAGTACTACATCGTTTACGCTGTCATCTCTGCTTGCATCCCCGTCTCCGTTTACTTCCTGTACCCCGAGACCATGGGCCGCAACTTGGAGGAGATCGACCTGCTCTTCCGCGAGTCTCCTTCCGTCTTCGCTACCGTTCGCTTCGCCAAGAACCGCCCTGTCGCGATGCCCCAGGAGTTCGAGAGCGAGAAGCCCAACGACAAGGCAGACCACGTCGACCAGAAGCCTCTTGAGGATTCTGCATAACCGTACATAATGAAGTAATCTATGGGTTGGGGTTTGTGCAGGTCACCCCAGGAAAAGTTATCTAGCATAAGCAAGCGGAAGTGATTTTAGCGAATGGAATGAGAAGTACCGAGTATGGTACGAATGATACCACATCATGATTGTCTTGAAACCAGGTTTCGATATCTTGCCAATGTGTAGATTTTGTGACAACTGCGAACACACGTCTGTTTTGGACACCACCTGGTCTCATGGTATAAGTCCCAATACACTGCCAAACACGTATCTGGCCCAGAATGACTGTGAAGGAACCGATTTTGAGGCTTTTCACGGTCCAATGAGATGTTTCGTTTGAATGAGATCCATCGCAGACCTAGTCACCCACGTGCTGCATCATTTCGGCGAGCTTTCCGGCCCACATTGCACCCATGCCCCGACATGACCATCCTTGGCAATGGAGTCCTCCAGGTAGTTGAAACCAACAGACTAAAATTACACCCAGCGTCGCATCGCACGTCGTTTTGTTTCTTGCCCCGAACTTTGGGTCAATGTGACGTTCTGGCGTCGAAACATTACGGATGCGTTCCATTGTCAGATCTAAATATGATTGTCGAGGACCCTGCGGTACCCTTGCTTCAGCTGCCCTTGGTGAACACGCCAAGCCGTCACGTAGTGTTGTATTCAATATCCCAATGATAGCTGGGGCCTTGATCAAGGGCGAATTTGCTAAGAGGGGGTGTATTACTACTCTAATTCCGCAGAATGTGTTGCTAGTTGTGTTGGGCCAAATAGCTGGACACTGGTTGTGGATATCAAGTTTCACGCCTCGAGTACTGGAGCAAGACTGCGAATGTCTGGGCTCATGGCCATTTGTACTACATAGAAAACAGGCAATGTCTCAACGACACCACGACTTCTTGGCAGGAAATATCGGCCGGCTTGTCTACCCTAGGTTGAGATATTGAAAATGTCGTTTGCGACGAAACGTCTTTGGAGTGACATCAGCCTTGATTTTAATAATCAAGTCCCATGCAGGCCTCAACTCCAGCGGGTAAAGGAACGAAAAAAAGGAAAAAAAAAAAAAAAAAAAAGAAAAGAAAAAAGAAACACAGCTGACGTCGATCCCAGTGAACCTAGGGCTTCATCTAGGTGATGTTCATGTGGCATTTCCCTTAAATTAGGTAAGATCTCGAACAAGGTCTGAGGGTCAAGCCATGATAGGATTCAAGCTTTCAATCTCAGGCCAGACGTAAGATCCATCAGTCAATGAAATTTCGGGCCAGTACATGCGGACTAGAATACGGTCAAACAAGGAATCATAATCGATGGGATATGAAGTCTTACCAGTGAGAGATGCGTTGTTAGCAACAGGTAACCAATTTCCAGTCCAATTGGCCGGGGGTGGAATGTCCGCACTCTGCAAGAGAACTTGAAATGTTTCATCTTGGCCGCCCGCCGCAGTCGGCCCATATACCTGACCACCTTCAAGGTACTGCAAAGTCGAGGTCTTGGATCCGATGCTGTACCGACTGATGCCATTCGGTACAAGTCTGAGCAACGCATCGTAAGAGCCAATGTTCCAAAAGCCCGGACTTGTCACGCCTGGCTTTCCAAAGAAGGTGATAATCATGGACAGAGTAGAGAAATCAATGGTTCCGCTAAGCATCGGGTGATTAGGCAGGAGTGCAAGCTTCTGGGTCTGGAGATACCCAATACCAGAGGCAGCTTGTGCAGCATAATGTGTTCCGTAATTGCCTTGGTAGGAGGGAATGGGTACTGTCCAGTTATTACCCAGCTGTACGATGTGCGCTGCGTCGGCCAAGTCCGCTTCGATGGAGTAGCGTGCGATGGACGCAGCGTTTGAAATATCGACGTCTGGGTTGGCAGTATAAGTTCCGTTTCCAATGCCTGCTTGTGCGAGAATGGTGTTCACGCGTTCTCGGTCTGAGACAGTCTGGGGAGGGTTGTAAGGCAACAAGCTGGCGGCAAACTGAAGCACACTCTGGGGATTGGTGATATTTGGTGTGATGAGTTTTGCAAAAGACGGCACAGTGGTCTCCGCCGAGAGATCAGTCGTTCCGACAGTGGAGCCATCTTGAAGTGAATGGAGCCGGTCTAATTCTTCCGTCGTGTTGGAATTGATGCCAATGCGGATAGCGACAGAGGCGTATGCGGTCGAAATATTGATAAGGTTACCATTCGCAAGGCCTACTTCATTTACGGCGTCGCGCTTGAGACGGTAAGTTCCGGCGGTGTTTCCATTTACATTGCTTATTTCTGCGATTGCGTTTCCATAGCTGAAGTGAACCCGTTAGTAACCACCCGATTCAGAAAACCAAACCTTCCCACTAGACTTACAAGTCCCAGATGAGATAGCTCCAGTAACGGTCATCAAACTCGGGTACACCCAGAAGGACGTCTGCTTCAGATAGATCGAGCACTCCAAACGAGTAAAGAACATCGACATTGACTGCCACGATAGAGTTCGTCTCAGGGGTTGGAAACTCTCGCGTGTGCAAGTACTGATTAGCTGGTGATGATTGCGAAAGGATCCCGAGAATGGCAGTCTGGGAAACCGGGGCGGCAGTGAACTTATTGATGCGTTAGCTAAGCCCAAATGTTAGAGGCGTGTCGTGTCTTACGATCAAAGACCAAGCAGTTGCCTCCAGAGTTCCGCCCACAGCATCATCAACGTTGATCATAGTTGCAGATGAGTCGGGCTCCAGATCCGCGGTGGCGTTGAGGTCGATTCGTACAATGGGATTTTCATCGGGAATCTTGACTTGGGCACGCGCAGTAGCGGCGTATAGCAGAATAATAGCGACTGAGTGCAACATATGGAATGACTAGATGAATGGAACGAGTAGTATGATTTGCAAAACGAATAGCGTATGAAACAGCAACTGCATTATCATCAGGAAACACTCCAAGTTAAATAGCAATTGAGAACTTGCCCGCATCAGATAACCGAAGTTTGACATCAGCCCACAAGCTCTCATCTGGATGCCATTCGGAGAATCCGCTTATTGAAAATAGGAGTTGTGTAGAGGCCAACGTATTCGTTATCGTCTAGACACCTGATTGGACAAACGATACGAGCGCTTGGTAGACAGACGAGTTGACATGAATTTTAGCTCCGTAGTGCAGCTTGGACCACTAGACAGCTGGACAGGGGCTATCCGGTGCAAGGATCACGAGGCCCCAGATACAATGACAAGAGGAACTTCCAAGGCCCTTGATGTGGCTAGTCCTGATGAACAGTAGGGCTCAATTGACACATCACAGCCCCATCATACCCATCAGTGTATGTGGGAGGCTGAGCAACTCTAACCGTCTTGGATGCACAGCCCCACCTATAGGACGGGGCGTTGAATTTGCTGCGGCTCGGCTCCCAGGTATGTTTTTGATTGATTCTTAAAACTGCCCTTGCTATTCAAATGAAAATTGAGCATGGAGCTTCAGAGTATCCTGATGTTACGCATATCTCTGTTCAAAGCGAGGTTGCTCTGACTGGCAAGCTTGCCTAGGAAATTAACCCTAGCTTTAGCAAGACAGAGATATGCGGACTAATTACGGAATGCTAGCTTGTTCTCGCAAACACTTGGCTGCGCTAGAACATTGGTTTCGAAGCCTCAACAACGGGGTCTGTGTCTCTGGTCGCCGAAACTGCATGCACCACAATGGCGAAGCGTAACTAAACAGCCATCCACAGGAAAGGCGAACCATCTTCCTCCACACCAGGGGTACACATCAGTAAGAGTAAACTTCATCTATGATTCATTCTCATACACTAGATTCAATGGATCGAACCAAGTGAGACCCTGGCCGTAGGCCGTGTCTAGACAACCCCTGTTGGTATTCTGAGTGAAACTGACGGCCTTGCATCAGCCCATCTTGGCGGTGCTTGCGTGGATTAAGAATTGGCGGGGAATTTCCTGCACGCCATCGGGAGTCAGAAATTGACTCGGGTCGCTTGTCGACGGATGATACATGGGGATAAAATCGATGTGTGGTGTTTCGAATGAGAACGAGGAAGGAGATGCCAATTGATGTGTTCATAAAGACGAAGAAACTCCTATGGCAACAGACACAAGAACCTTTTTGGATGAACTTTCCCTATATATGAGATGAAATTCCCACTCAATTTCTTGATTTCGTGAAAAGCTATTGGTACAACAAATCCAACTGCTTTGAGCCAGTTCGAGTTTGACCGCCCTGTGAGTTATACACTCACGTTGGGGCCAATACACGTGGAAAGCCAAACCCAAGCATGCTTATTAGCATTAGCTGCATAGGCGGTAGTCATCCAGCCAAGGTCATTAAATCCGAGAGAACGCGGCCGAAAGGCTGTCACCCAATAAATGTTGCATACACATGGGACCTTGCATACGTAGAGAGGGATGGACCGTTGGTTACTCCGCAAAGGCTGCAGGCCGCCAGTCTTACACGCAGTACCACTAGCCCTCAATGCGGAAGGCGGAAACCGATATCAAGCGCCGAGGGTAACATTGACAGGGTAGATTTTCAGGGGTACTACAGCTTGTAAGCACCAGTGACTTCCAGCTATGAGACCATGGGCAAGTATCCCGCGTCCATCACGCAGGAACTGTGCGTTTTTTATCGATTTCAAAGCCAATCTAGACCCCAGGAAGGAGAGACTCGCAGCCACGCGATGCAACGAGTGCGAACAATATCTCGTATTCGTCAATGTCTTGGCGTGCAGAGTTGTGGCACGATAGCTCGATGTTTTGTATATCAACTTTAAAAGCCCCCGTGGTGTCAACGTTGAGTGATGCATGCATTCTGTCCTTTGAAAGTGCACCGGCCTCTTACAAAATGGTTTCTTCTTTGATGCTCAAGCTTCTGGCAGCTGCAGTCGGCGTCTCGGCGTGCACCCTGCCGACGGATCCTGTATCCAACAACATTACCACTGGCTTCGGCATTCAGGTCCAGAATCCCGCTGCACCCATTGTTCACAACCGCTATATGAACCTTTGGTCGGCGGGTGGAGGCGACCAGCACCTCTATCTTAGCCCCGCTGGAGATGCAGCGTTCAACCTTACCCTTGACAACGGCGTCATTTCTCGCGGCATTATTCATGCCGTCATCAATGGAGAGGTAAATTCGTCGCATGTTGCCTCAATATTGAAGGCTAATCAAGATGTCACAGTACACTGCGGATGACAACACCACCAAGTTGTTTATGACGGAACGCGGCGACCCCAAGGCTTACTTTCAGCCTGTCTATGGTTGCAACATCGATACGGATGCGGTGCAGCTTGAGTTGGACTTTATATCAAGGGCTGCCCTTCCAGGTGGCTTCATTTGTGTGAGAAGTGCGTCCGGCGACAGACACGAGTTCCGCTACTCTCCCCCCGGCAATACTGGTAAGTATTTCTCGAGTTCCACACAAGCAAGCTGGCTAACAGTTCATCAAGCCGTCCGTGAAGACCGTCCTTGCTACGAGGTTACACTGGCCGTGGTCCAAGCCCCAGCTGCCTAGTTCGCGGATGGCGTGGTCACCAATGTTTATCTACTTTGGAAGTCATACTTGAGTTCTAAGGTGTCAATGATATATTTTGTAATATTTTGGAGAGAAATGAAACCCCTTCTGAGCGCTTCCGCAGAGTTTAGCCTTCAGGCATGAGAAATGAAGCAACAGAAATTTGAGGCACTCAATAGGACAGTGGCTCTTATGAGATGTTGGTCCTCAATCGAGGCAGCGTCACAGGTCCAGGCCAACCAAGCTGCCAGAGATATTTTTTGACAGGTGTCCCGTACCAATGGAATGGCATAACCAAACGAGCAGACCTTTCAATTTTGGTGAAACGGGATATATAGACCTTAAAGAGAGATGAGAAATACGAGAAAGCACCGTCGTCACTTCGTGCTGTCATCTTAAACCAATGGGGGCTCGCCTCGCTCCGTCCGCCACTGATTTGTCGCCTGCAACGTCCCCGGCAGTCCTCTGAAAAGCCACCCCCACTTATGCAGAAATCCTTCTGACATCTCCCATCCGGTGATTTCCCATGGTGGTGACCAGGCAATAATGCCACGTTGTTTGATCTCGTCGTCGGGGAAGCCCTCGTACAAACCACCGATGCAGTCCGCCCACAGCTCGTCCTCGTCAAAGGTACCAGAAGCCTGAATCAGACGATCTCTTCCCTCGGGACTGGGGAAAAGATCAATCCAGTCGCCATGTGGCACCGTTTGTTGAAGGACGGTGGGCAGGAGCGCCTTAGGGAGAAGCTGTGGTTTGTAAGGGTAGGGGATAATGTGAATCAGCTCCTTGTCGCATTCAAGCGGCGCGTCGAGGATGCCTGAGATCAGAGTGCGATTAACAGCTAGTGCACGAAGGGCATTGAACTGTAGGAGTGTGATGAGGTGGTCTGGACAGAGAGGGAAAACAACATTGAGCTGCCGGCCTGTAGACCTTCCGGATAGCAGGGGTTTTCTCGCATTATAGCCTTGCTTGATCCGCGACAATGGAACGAGGCACACGGACTCCTGCTGATTGTCCCAACATTCAACAGACGCCTCGGGCTCAATTAATGAGCAGCTTGTGGTTGTAGATGCTTTGGCCTTTTCCCCAAGGGCTTTGCGTTTACCTACACTGGCTGTCAGTCTCGATACCGAATCCAACTTGATCAAATGTCCCTCATAATTTGTTTAACGTTGATGGATTTCCTGCGGAAAGTAGGATGGTAGTTGATACTCACGATATGCTCTCGTGTTAAGTCTTGTCTGTGCCCGACGGCGCGCTGCGGCATCCTTTGTTCCAGTCCAGTCGTCACCTGTGGTTCTCGCCTACAAGCAATGAGCGAATCATGTCATTTTCAAAAATCGAGTCACAAGAACCTCAGCTAGTTGTGGCATCGAAGCCAGTTGGATGTGCGGTGCCATTAAACTTGTCGCCTGATTGGTGTCCATCATGGCCCGAGCTAATGTCCTGGGTCATAGTGAGATTGTTGGTGAATAATATAAGTTGGTCGAGGCCCGAAGGTCTTGCAATGCAGCCTGCTCACATAAATAGGTTTCATGGGTGTCACTGGAGTGCGGGCTTATTTACGCTTACTCCTTGGCAAAGGATGAGGCGCAGGTAGACAGTCTACTAGGAAACATGCAACATCATTTGTTGATGTTGCCATTTCGGACCACAAGTGGTCTAGCGTCATGCAACCTGCTCACATTGACTCTGGGGCAGAACGGGATTACGACTCCAGTCACATCGTCTTTGAATGGTGCTCCCGCCGAGCCCTATCATGTCGAGGGGAGTTCGGCATAGAACCGCTGACTCCATGCAGGTGGCTCACAAACCCATGGGAGTTCTCCCACGACATCTGATTGCAAGAAATCTGACATGAACATGCAATCACTGATCTGGAAGTCATGCAAGTGGCTCACAACGCCCGGTGCTGCCGGAATGGCAATAACGTTCCACACTCAATTTCGTCACTCACGACAAGAACTATAAGAACCAGGACAAATTGACAAAAGCTAGCCTGGATGTTGGTTGGCAAGCATTGCAATAATCACACTTCAACGCCACACTACGCTGGAAATTTCTTTTCCAAAGATGGCGTTCCACCCAGACAGTCTCCCCGATCTCGAGGGCAAGGTATTTATAGTGACAGGGGGGAACTCTGGCATGTGAGTCGCTTTCTTTTTTTCCCACACGAAAATCGGTCAAGTAATAACAAAACTAAAGAGGCTACCACACCGTTGCTCGCCTTGCGGAACATGGCGCTCATGTCTACATGTGCGTCAGGTCATTGGATAAGGGTGCACGGGCAATCGCTGAGATTAACGAAAAATGCCCCTCGGCGAACGTTGACCTCTTGCAAATGGATTTGACGGACCTCGCCACCGTTGTTGCAGCCGCCAAATATTTCCTCACTCTCGAAACAACGCTGCATGGATTGGTCAATAATGCAGGGATCATGGCCACACCCTTCGAGATAACCAAGGATGGACACGAGGCCCAGTGGCAAGTCAACTACCTCGCTCACTGGGTCTTGACGGAACATATGCTTCCTTTGATGCTACAAACATCTAAGAATCTCGCCCCGGGCAGCGTACGCATCGTCAATCTTACTTCATCGGGCCACTTGGGAGCACCCAAGGGCGGGATTAACTTCAACGACCCATCCCTAAGAGAAGGGAATACTTGGACACGATACGGACAGAGCAAGCTTGCCAACATTTTGCATACAAAGTCTCTGCATGAGAGATATGGGCCCGGCTCTCGCAGTGCACGAAATGAAGAGGGCGAGATCTGGGTTACATCCGTACACCCTGGTATGGTCGAAACAAACATCGCAGCCCCGGCGAGGGAGTCACGGTCGATCATAATGATTGTTCTCTCATTCTTTCGAGTGCTTGGCTTCGTATGGCCAGCTGACAAAGGTTCTTGGAATAGCGTCTTCTGCGCGGCAAGCGAGGATATGGAAGCTGAACAAGCCGGTGGCTACTTGGAAATATTCCGGCGATTCGGAGAGCCTAGATGGCAGAGTAGCGCAGCAAAGGATGTGGGGCTTCTAAAAGAGCTGGAACAATGGACGAGGGGCGTGATGAAAAGAGAAGGATGGTCTGGGGAGTAACCGTTCCGTGTTGGCGTGGGCAATATGTATTAACTAGTCCAGCACGAAGTACACACAGTCACACACGTGATGTCAGGCTCCATGGGCAACATTCAAACATGTACCGTGTTGTTGTCATCTCAATACTCAAAGTCTAGTACAGATTCTGAATTGAAGTTATTTGTTTCCTCATAGCGGAGATAGACTGAGTCTGGTCAGATGATAAAGATGTTGTGTATACATGTAGACACTTACAATCCAAGAAAGAAATTGACGCAACACATGTAGCTATCAGATGACAAGGTGGTATTTTGTAAAGGCCGAGACTGCGTTACCGGCTCTGCAAGTGGTAGAGATCCGGCTCGGAGTCGAATATCGATCAAGGTTAATTTGGCTGACCTAAGTGACTCTGACTACAATGTCTGGCGTTAAATTAAGCGAAGTCTAACTTGAACCGACAAGACGAAATCCCCCTTGAGTCATTTTAAGCTGCATGTTGGTCGTATCTGCAGCGACTTGCATCTCCTGCAAGCTCATCACCGGCCCTGCAGCGTCCTTTGTCTTCTCATCCAGTCCGTTGAAAAGTGTTGCCAACATTGAGCTCTTCCAGGGAGGCCTATCGCTGAAGCTCGTTTGTATGACTGTCAAAGCAAGGAACACCGCTGTAAGCAACACCATCGCCGCTGGCAACGAAAGCCATGCCCAGTTGACGTGGACGCAGGTTTGTTGCTCCCACACAACGCCCTGCGCGGGGCCTACTCGGATACTCTTATCTCCATCGCCATTCCGCCAACGTGCTGTTATCGAATCAGCCAGGCCTCTCATGGCATGCTGCACAGTATCGCGAGTCGCATTGCCGCCGGCCCATAGATTTACCGACCAAAGGTTGCCTGTAGCCCTGCTCGTCCATGGATCCCACCAAAGTGTTTCGTTGCCGAGCAACGAAGAAATAACCGCTGCCAAGCCAGCTGTTGGGGCGTAGGGGATAGAAAAAATGCAATCTGAGGGCCACCAGGTGGTGTAATTCCAGTAATTGGAGGATTTGTTGGTGAGAACCTCTCTCAAATACCCCGATCCAACAATGGTACCAGGGCCTGTGGGAAATGCGATGATCGGTAAACTGTTATCTTGAGATGGGCCAGACAGTCCTTGGCATTCGTGCCAAGCCCCATTTCTGATGGTTCTGTTGGCGCGGAAAATGCTATGCGTGGCAAATGGAATAAGCTCGACATCCATACGCTGTGTTTCGACCACATATTCTACGAGAACGCCGTTCGTGACATTGGAGCTCCAAGTCGTTACGGCGGGAAAAAATTCGCACTCAAAGGCCTTCATTGACTTTTTGGAAACGGTCGAAGCCATCATAAAAGAGATCTTCGTGAGGAAATTCGATGGTGTCCCATTGGAGGAGCGCCGTACACCCGACTGCATTACATTGTTCGTAATGTTGTCGAGGGCTATGCCATAATCCAGCAAGCTGGCAGTCTTGTAAGTATAGGTCTGGTTATTGGAATTTCTGGTGGAATTCAATGAATGTGATATTTTGTCGCTGATGTCCGTACACTGGCTTTGTAGCGAAAGTGACATGAACGTGGCACCGTCTTCGGTAGCCGTGAATGTGCAGTTTCCCGTCCTACACGTGTAGCTGACGGCGGCAGAAACATTCGCAGGGGGGTCAAGTAGCCCTACGTATATGGCTGACTGCATTTGTGAGTCAATTGCAGGCGTGCCCGATGGCCGTCCCATAATACCATCAGTGTAGTTGTTTGAAAATGAAATTGCTCCAACCTCGCCGTGCGCCATCACTGAGCAGCTGTAGTAATGAACAATTTGTTGTGCAAAGGGGTCCACGGCCATGGCGAAAATTGTAAGAATGGCGCCGAATACGGCCAGATTCCGGCCCCTGAGGACGAAAATCAGGAGAAGGGATCCCCACGGGCCTACAACGTGGAGCACGTCAGTACATGGAGGCTACACCGTAAATGTTGGTTGGAACCGGAGATCATATAGTGCAGTCACTGAACCGAGAGAAATATGAGATGAGCGGACGAACCTCGACTTGCCATGTCCCACTGCGCGATGTGTTTCATAGGCCTTGGCTTTTCGTACCACAACCATTTCAACTGGCTCAAGCCCTCGGCTATCGGCATCATCAGGCACGCCTTTAAAATCGCGCTAAACACGGCAATAAGAGCGTTTATGGTGATCATCGAAGGCCACTTGGGTAGAGTTCGGTCTTGGTGGAGGAGAAGCGTAATGAACATCGCCGCCAAGGCAACGGTAGCAACGGCGATGCTTAGCACCTCCCACGCCCATAATCTATTCAATAGGCTGTCTCTGGAAGGAAAGATTCTCCCACGAGTTTCCGAGGCAGATCCATCATGGTCTTGAACTGGGGCGTATGTGTGCGAGCTGCCTTCTTTTACTGAGTTGTCGCCAGACCCATGAAGTCTCTGTGTTGATAGTCTAGAGTCTGATGGGCTGTTCTGTAGCTGGATGTACGTAACGGCTCGGGGTCCTCGAATTCTTGAGTCGTCCATTGCGAGAAAGAAGCAAGATAACCTTTAATATGGGATGGAAATCTCCCATGTGTCAATATCTGATTGTGTGAAGACGTCGATCTCGCCTTTTGTGCGTGGGCCGGAAGACTTCAACATCTGGAAGGAAAGAAGACGCTGCGGCCTATGCTATGGGACAGCAGGACCTTTACATGTCTCTTAAAGGCCCTCAAGACAGCTTTCCAGTATCACTAGCGCGGAAGATCATGCAAGGGATGGGACATAATGGACGCTTGAGGGCCAATAGAAGCCAAAGTTGTCGGGGACTTACGATGTTGATTTGGTGCACAGCATTAGACCCCCTCATCGACCAATGAAACATGCTACAGCGAATTAAAAAGGTACGGTCATCCCTGCTAGGTCTTACTGTACCATGAGATAGTACCCGCTTTCTCTTAATGCAACCCCTGTACATAGTAAGGTACCTTATGTGTACAACGAATTCCACCAGTGATATGGCTTTCAGCGCAAATGCAAGAGATCATGGACTAATTGCTTTTTGAGCAACTAGCATACTTGAACAGCAAAAGACGGCGTAAAGGGCTAGGGAAGTGGCCTGTCTTAAGATGGGATGAATTCTGCGATTGTCAACGTGCTCATAGCATGCCATCTCTGAATAAAAAGGGGTGTAATGGCAGGCTTGACTCACGATGTGAACATTGCAACTAGTAGATTTACAGGAAATCGTTTGTTGAAACAGCACGCGTCTTTTTGTTCTAATTCCAGGGCACATAGCCTATAACATCTTAGTTCTTCACAGAGTGAGCTGGTAATATCAAAGACCATTAATCTCAGCCAGTGACGTTGCTTCTGAAAGTCAGTTGCGCCTCCCATATTTTCAATAAGACCCAAAGCTCACATGCCTACCTAGGTAGTAGTTTAGCCATCTTGTTATTTGAAGAGTTACTCTACAGAGCTTAAAAAATTTGACGAGAATAGCTGCACGCCTTACTTCCGCAGCAATGCACTTGCGCGTCTTATACCTAGATACGCTAGGTTCTTGAGTTCAGCATTAACGCGAACCACGCTCCTTTGCAAGAGGTCTGTTCTCGAGCTCTCCTGCCCAATGAAGCGCAGGTAGAGAGAAAAGAATTGCTGGTCTTGTAACTCACCGCCAATGACACGGAGGCGGACTCTCTTGGTGAGCCTTTCATCTGCGGGAATGGACGACGACAGTGAAACTACTGCTGCGAGAAGGGGAGGGCAGAGAAGATGAGAAGCACACACTTCAGTGCATCCGCTGGAAGAGTGCCCCTCCTAGGCTCATTTGGTTTGTGACTTCAACTACGTATTGCGACTTGTTGCATTTTAATTGCTGCCACCTCTGCCGCATCTATATACTTTTGCTGCTGAAAGTCAGCACGATGTCCTTTGGCGGTCACCGGAAGCATGTTTTCACGGAAAGGCTGGCAGCTACCCAAATAACGTGACCAAGAACCTGGGGCCGTTGCTCCCGGATCCTGCATGCTGTTCACTCTTTGGTCGTGTGGCCGATCGAAGCTAGTCACAGTACTTTGAAGAAGCCGGTATGGAGAAAGCCTCGTGTCTAATTTCCCAGCTGTCTCGGCTTCAAAGCATTGCAAATTCCCTGCAAGGCTGGCGCCTATGTTACGGTTCTTGGTATGTCTTGAATGCGAGCTGGCACATCGCCGGCCTGTGTGCTTGACGACAGCATCTCGCTCGCGCATTTCCCCAAAGGATCTCCGTATACGGCCTTTCACTTCCCTCCGACCTTTCCGGAATGTAATCTGACAAGGTAGTCTGACATTGACATAGTTCATGATGTTTCGGCCCTTTGGTGATCTGGCGAGAGAGGCACGGCACATCAGTTCACCTGTCGACTAATCAACGCCCACACATTGGAGATCTCAATTGGATCGCCTAGTCCGCAACAAGAAAGCCATGCGTGTTTGAGACCAACCTTAACCAACGTGCACGCACCCAGACCCGGCGGGACGGACGCACCGACGGCGGTCGGCAGTTCGCGGTGTCGTCCGATGCAAATTTCCTAGTCTTTCGACTAACATTCGCAAGTTTGAAGTACTAGCGATCAGCTGTGTGCGACCGCTGCCTATGCAGGAGGAAGGCATGCGCAGCGACGCCGACGGAGACAAGTCGTACAAAAACGGCTGATCCGCGTCTAAGTTGAGTGAAACAACGAAAGCGAAAGTCAATAAATTGAGGGTTGCCAGTTTAAACTCGCCTCCCCGTGGAATGGATAGTTTGGAGCCTATTTCTATCCGTGGAAACCCACCATTCAGACCAAAACCACCCGTGCGAAGCTCATTTCTGGCATTTGACATGTTGTGACGGATGTTGCGGAGCCTCCCGTCGGAGTAGACCATAGCAACGAAAGAATCATACCAAGAATGGTTTCCACACCGAGAGCGTTGACGCTAATTGTCACTGCAGCTGCTGAACCAAGGTATAGAACTTGACCTACTCGATAAATTACAGAAAAAATATTTTTGATGATAAGCTACTTCGCATCATTCATGAAATTTGGATACCATATGGAGGATTAGCAACCCGCCTGGAAAATGATTATCAATTAAGTCTCACATGATTCCTGGTTGCTATATTTTAAAGTAGTGACTTACTGGATCTGGGCTGAAAATAGCCTCATACTAGGGAGGTGTGTCACAAGAGTTTATATAGAAGCCCAACTTAAGGGAAAGCATAATACATCATGCCCTGGAAAGCGTTCAACTTATACTTAGAACAGATGTCACCAAACTAACACGTCACAGATAGTACATGTGGTTTGAGATCTATAGCAAATAGCCAAGCAGCAGCTGCGTTGGGTCATCTGGGGACACACAGACCTGATACAAACCCAATACGTACAATCGGGAGTGCCAATGTGAGTTAACAGCATTCGCATCCCGGCGTACGGCTGAAAACTTAGATTTTCAACGCCGACACAGGGGGCTATGAGTGCGGCACAGAAGGAGATGTTGAAGAAAAAAAGTCGATCTGTGCACTCAAACCTGGGCAATACCATGAGGCAACCTGTGGGGTAGCCTCTCTCGGATGGGCTGCCTCATCATGCTATCTGGCCTCCGCAAGGCTGTAAGTGCTGATCCGTCACTGACACAATACAAAGGATTCGTAGAATATCTCATTGAAAGCCAGTCCAGGTCTCTAGACCAATCTGTGGCAGGAATTGAAATCGAGAATCTCATTCAATCAACAGACAGTCGTCACTACGCCTTGGTAGAGAGATTCCAGTATCATCTCAACATGGCCCTATCACCCCCTAATGCCAAACCACTGGAGAAAATCTTCCTCTTCGGCGACCAAGCTTACAGCACCCCCAAACGCGATCTCAAGCGCTTGCTAGACGATGAAGCCTTCCAACAGACCTTCCCTGATCCCTCATCGCCCTTCTCCCTCTTCATTCATCGCTGCGGGAGTGCAATCCAGCGCGACCTGGCCCAGTTCGTCAACCCCATGAAGGTCAAACACCTCTGCCCTTCCGGCACCCTGGCCGACATGCTCTTGCAGTGGCATTACCGTAATATTGGCTACTCCCACCCGCACTACTCCGACCGCGACGATGCCCACCACTGCTTAGCGCTGGATATGGCATTGCTTGTCGCATATCAGGTGCTGCTATTCATTCGACATGTCGAATCTTCTCCATCAGCGGAACACTACGGGAACGCTACTGTCATAGGCACTTGCACCGGGGCACTGGCTGCTGCGGCGGTGGGGTGCAGTGCCGACTTAGCGGAGCTGGTCCCGCTGGGCATAGAGGCTGTCCGGGTTGCCTTCCGGGTGGGTCTGGTCGTGGATCGGGCGGCACGGGATACCGCACCAGCGACAGGCACGAAGCAGCCTTGGAGCATGGCGGTGTCGGCAGCGGACGAGCGCACGTTTCAGGGGATGCGAGTCTTCCTGCAGCGGCTCGCGGGCAAAGTTGGGAACACTGCCAGCAGTTGGTTGCAAAAGGTTGACAATAGGAAACGCGAGGCAAGAAAAGGGTCATACTGGGTGAGCGCATGGGGGCCGAACTCGGTAACGGTGTCGGGGCCGCCGGAGGTGCTAGCGGAGCTGGCGGACTCGGACGGGCTAGCGGTTCCCGGCGTGAGGATATTGCCGATACCGATATTTGGGCCGTTTCATAGCTCATTGCTCCACACGAAGGAGGATGTTGCTAGGTTGCTGGCGTTCCTGGACCCAGCAGTGGCGAGGACGCCTGCATGTCTGACGGTAATCTCGGCCTCAACAGGAGAGGCCCCAGAAGAGGCCGTTGACTTCGTCTCACTAATGCGCACCGCTGTCGATGACATGCTTCTACGTCCGCTTCGCTGGGACCTCGTGCTACAGCGGTTTTGTGAGCACGCCGAGACGAGTGAGAGTGGCACTGGGTTGCCGGAGGTCATCTCGATCGCGTCGTCCGCGGGACAGTCTCTCAACACAGCCTTGAGCCAGGCACAGAAGGGCACACGAAAACCGCGAAAGGTAAAAGATCACGGCCTGGAGAGTACGACAATTCACCGTGTCGTAACAGAGGCAGACTTGATGGTGGGAGACGGGCTATACCTGGTAACGGAGGCAGATCTGGCGAGACCGGATCTGAGGGAGGCAGTTCAGGGGCATTTGGTAGAGGGAAAGCGGCTATGTACGCCGGTGAGTTTTCATTAATGGTTCTGAGTTGATCGAGAACGGCGCTGACGTAGACAAATGGTAGTCCGTCTTCG